TATCTGTAGTTTTCCCGCGCCTATGCAGTTGGCGATGAGCCTGGCCGAGTCAGTTCGTTAATCTGCATCCTCTCCCGGAGTCCACCGGAATGACTGCGTGGGCACTGCGTTCTAGAGCCCGTGATGTGCAAATAAGTACTAACAACTGGCGCCCTGAGCCAGGAAGGGGAATGCATGCCTATACGTACGTGTATCTTCGGCTTGGCTGATGCAAAGGACGTGTAGTGCACAGTTTACAAATCATAATGAAAACACAATGGCAAATTCCGTGTGTGTCTGTGTGTGTGTGTGTGTGTGTGTGTGTGTGTGTGTGTGTGTGTTGCTAGGAAAAGAACAGCCCAGGGCTTCCCTCTGCTAAAATTGAGCTCAACCCCTGGCCTGTATCCCCACGCCTTGCCAAATGCTTACATGGCAGGCAAACTGGTAACAATGACCAAGGTACAAGGCACCTTGTTGATATTTTCCTCTGTTAACACAAAAGGGCAGTGAAAAATAAAGAGAACACCTGTACTGCCAGCAATAGGAACAACCTCTCTGCCGAATTAGAAAATAGTTATCAAATACTGGAAGAATATATCCTTTATTTTTGCGGTATTCACACAGCTACAGACATAACACAAGAAGTTTGCATCTGAATTAGCATATTCTCTCTCACTTTCTCAAATCTAGGTAATCTTCAAAACGAATCAAGCCCAAAGTGTGTAGCACTTGCCTAAGGGCTGATTTCAGTCTGTCAGCCTGATCTTACAAGAGGCAGTCAGAAAAGGATGAACTGAAATACACCATTTGTGATATGATACGCTAAGCATGCAGGGCTGGCTAGATAGCTCAGCGGACTAAAGTGCCTGTGTAGGCAGAGCACAGTGGCTCGGGTTTGATTGCTGGTGCGCCGTCCCAGCCCCGATTGAGACTGGGCATGGTGGTCCTGGGCATGGTGGCCCATGCCTGTAATCCCAGTGCTTGGGAGGCTGAAAACAGGAGAATCACTGAGTCTGATCTATGTAGTGAGACTCTATAGACCCTGTACTAAATGCATTTTTTT